ATAGATGATTTCTGTTCCACAATATCCATTATATAGTGCTAAAGGTTATCTATACAGGATGTCTGAAGAGCTTAGTGCATTTTTTGACACCATCCTCTTGTCCTTAATGCTTCGTTTTAATGAAATAAATAAAAACGAATAAATACACATCCCATAAACAATAAACAAAAATATAACCTTCTGAAAAGTTTGTAGTTTCTTAAATTTATTGTATTTTAAGAAACAACATAAAAAAGAAAAGAGTTCAGTATCAATGAGATTCAAAAATATGCCAACGGGCATATAAGTGTTTCACAAAATAATATACTAGCTATTATTGGCGGCACCACATGAGAATTGAGCCCCACTCAGAAAATTTTTTACAGTTACTGGTAACGGCGATCTCACTGGAATTTTGATGGAAGTTGAGCTACTCGCTCTTGTTCCCTCTTTTACCTAAACATCTTTTATGGACGACTTCGTACTTTATCGGAATACGGAGCTCATTCCATTGAATATTATCTTGATGAAGATAATAATTGGTCATTAAATATTGATGAACTTGAACGTTCATTAAATGAATCGAAAGATCGTTGTGAACCACAGGGTATCGTCGTTATTAATCCTGGAAACACTACAGGCAAGCTATCAACATTACTTTATTTGATTTCAATGTTACTTTTTAAAATTTAGGTCAAGTCCTTTCACAAGAAAATATTGAAAATGTGATTCGTTTTGGTAAGAAAATGAAAAATCTATTTTTTTTTCTTATAAATGAATAATTATGTATTGTTTTTATTTAATTTTAGCTAATAAACATCGATTATTTATATTGGCTGATGAAGTTTATCAAGAAAATGTTTATTTACCAGATTCAAAATTCGTTTCATTTAAAAAGGTGCTTATGAGTCTTAGGGCACCCTATAATCAATTGGAATTGGGTACTGAATGTCTTTTCTTCCTCATCTTTTAATTTTTCTATTTCTAAAATTTCTTTTTTTATTTCAGCTTCATTTCATTCAGCATCAAAAGGTTGGTACGGAGAGTAAGTATTGATTTGATAAAAACTAATTTAAAAAAAAACCAATCTTTTTCAGATGTGGTTCTCGTTGTGGTTATTATGAATTAATTAATATTGATAAAGATGTAAAAGTACAATTAAATATATTACAATCAGCACGTCCATGTGTCACATCTTGGGGTCAAGCTTGTTATGGAAGCAATTGTGAATTCTCCTAAAGACGGAGAACAGTCCTATGAACTTTATCATCACGAACGTTTAGCAATTGTTAATCAACTAAAAGAAAAAGCCGATCTTATTCGTCAATTGTTTAACTCAACGGATGGTGTTCATTGCAATATTATTATGGGGTTAGTTCAATAAAACAAGACTCTTTTCTCAAAAAAAAACAGCAGATCTATTATTTTAGTGCAATCTATGCATTTCCACGCATTGAAATTCCAAAAAAAAGCAATCGAATATGCTAAATCAAAAAATATGACTCCAGATGAATTTTATTGTTTTCAATTACTTGGTAAAACTGGAATATGTGTTCTATCTGGTAATGACTTTAAACAACGGCCAGGAACATATCATCTACGTACAACATTTCTACCACCTGTTGATCAAATGAAAGAAATGGTTGAAAGATTTCATACATTTCATATGTCATTTTTACATGAGTGGAAATGATTTTCTTTTGCCTTTTCTGTTTTTGCTACTAAGTACTTGTTTTTCCAAAAGAATCAACTGATAATCATTTTTTCCTCTAATAAAAAAAATCTAATTGTTTACGGTTTAAAAAGACGCATACACACATCCTTCATATAAAAAAGTAGATTTTTTCGAAGTCGGAGTCCAGTTTCCGAATCGAAAATTTTGATTTAATTGATTATTAAATTATATATTTTTCGTCCTATTTTTTTCTATCTATTATAACTTTTATGACGTTTCGTCAAACGAGGTTGACTTCATTAAATTGTACAGTGTTGCACATCTATATAAAATTTATGCATTTAACATTATTTTCTTTGTTCTTTTGTTCGTTCCACTAACAATAAATAGTACAAGGAAATCAAAAGAGAAAATAACGTTATATGCAAAAATTTTATATAGATGTACACTATTATATGGTCTAATGAAGCTAACTTCGTTTACTGAAACGTTATAAAATTTAAAGTAAGAAACAATTGGAAGATAAAATAAGCAATTCAAAAAAAAGCAATTTAATATGAACTTCCTTAGTGTTTATTAAATACTGATTTGAAACAAATTAAACAGATTCATAGTTTGACGATCTAAAGGCTTACAGTACAATTTCCAAGGGATAAAAATATGAAAGATGATGACGGCGCCATTGTAGTAAATGAAAATACTGACAATATTGAATACAATTTGACAGAGGGGTGAGCTGACCAGATTTAGATTTATCGACTGAGGTCTGTAGAGTAGACTGTTGGAAGCGGAGCGCACACACTTTTTACTAAAAAGTTCAACACTGATTAATAATCGTGTTTCTCATAGCAGAAATCAAAATGAAGAGACACTACATTGTGTCTTAATAAGCGACACTAGTCACAATCGAAAGTAATTAGGAATCTGTCTTCACTATCAAAAACTATAATTATATTAGGATATACTCGAGTTTCTTGTTCGAATGGAAAGCCTACATTTGATGCAAGTTTTAATCTACAACTTATATACAATACTTGTTCTATCAAGCAATTGATAGCACTTTTTTCTAAAGAGCATCCCAATGAAGCTAATCCCTATTCAATTCAAAATAGTTGCAAACTTGGTCCACAATCAGCAAAAAAATGGCAACGAACAAGTTATTCTTCTTGATACATAAATGATGAATATCTCGCTTGATAAGCATTCACCTTTCCTTTCCTTGTTACTCAATACATGAAGGACAATTTTTGGAACGTTTTATGCAAAAAACCTGTAAAACAAAACATCAAAAACATAAAAATTTCCATACTCGTACTGTTGGAGTTTGCTGTTAAGATTGCGTCTTGACAAAGAATAATCTATGAATCAGAATTGGACTTGTTAATCTTGATTTCGATCCTTTTATCGTACAATTAACTCGAGTCCAATGTTGTACAATCTCGAAAATCTTTCTACGCAAACATGTTCTTTTTGAGATGATTGCTACCTAGTTGCTGGAGACTTAGCCGAGAAGACTTGTTTGTTGTCTGACACAATGAAAGATAAAGAAAGTCTCACGAGTTGCAATCTTTTTCTATTTTGTCAATGACATCCCTGATAGTTTTATTAACTTCGAGAAGGACGATGCAACTGTGCAATATATCTATGAAAATATAATTTCGTTTCGATTCTAATGCTACCTTTGTTCGTTCGACCTCAATCACTCTCCAAGACGTGCAAACACATCGTGTTAAGATTATTTATATGTAGAATGAGAGCGATCGTATGGAGCATGACATTGATCTTCAGCGGACACAAATCAAACAGGCACATTGTTTTATCCATAACAATTCTTAGAATCACCCTGTCAACATATTTTATATTAATCGTTTCGCTTATACAGTTGCAAACAATGTTGTGAAGACCATATGAACGAATTGTATGAAGTCCATGACAAGTTTCAGTCACTTCGAATTGAGATTGGAACTCTAGCATGAAATCGAGTTTATCGCTAGCTAACAAGCACAATACACAAAGAAGATTCGAAAGAGTAATAATATAGTCTTGTCTTGAGAGAGAAGCATAGAAACTCAGTCAAGCGAAGCTTATCGACAATGTTAGATGATCGTGTATTCAGAAGATCTTCGGTCAACAATATCTTGAAAATTTCTTAATCAAATGATCGATGATTTCTTATCTGGCAGACACATTTGATCATGAACAAGCGAACGACAATAGGTATTCTGACGCAAATTGAAGATCTAATCATTGAATAAGTCGAACGACCTGGTTTGATGAAACCCAAGTTGATAGATCTCAATACTGAAGAAGATGATTTTTAAACGATAAAAAAAATCCATTTGATAATCATCAACAATCGTGGGGGAAAAGAAAATCTCGCTTGAACATAAAGCCAAAGAGGCACAATAGTATTTACGCATTGTATATGACTTTCTTTGATTGGTTGGACAAAATTAATGAGAGAGATTTCTCCAGTCAAAATGTGTCTTATTTTCTACAATTTTCTTAGATATTAAAGATCGTTTTTTTCCATCTAACTATTTGAAGGTTTCGAACATTGAATTCACTCATTGTCTAATTCTTAACTTTCCACTCTGCTTTGCATAAGTCAAGATAGTTTGTGTTTGTTCAAAACGAATTTAAGCTTCCGATGTACATTTGATATGACCCTTCAATATGGTGTTCACGATCACCGTTCTCAGCATCAGAGCTCATCACAACACTGAACTTACACGTTCGATACCTAGTGACCTCTATTATTACATTGATCATTGACATGATTAACATCCAATTGAAGACTCTTCGAAGACAAATAAGCAGGCAATCAATACTTGCAACAAGATCGTCGTTTACTAGTTGCTGGCATTGAGGTATGTTCAGATTTCTGAAAAGTAAATTTAAACTATAGCATACGCCATCGGATAAAAGAACGAAAAAAAATCCATTTTAATGGTAATTTTGAGGATTTTCATCAAAAACAAACCTTCATGCATTTTATTACTCAAAAAAAAATCGAAGTCATTCGATCACTTTCATTACTTTTGCACTATTTTCGTACCACGAATTTCATTATGAAGAGAAAGTCAAAATTACATTATTTTTATTATTTTCGCATCATTCGCATTTCATGACCTTGGTTATTAGTAAAACATCAAAATCATTACAAAAGTTTCATGATGTTTGCATCATTGTCATATTGTGGACTCTACTGTTCCTAAGAAATCTAAATCATAACATAAATTTCGTTACTTTTTCACATTTTCATGTTAGATTACTATCATTGAACTTCTCTATTTGAGTAACTAGTTTTTTAATAAAGTCTCAGATGACTGAATCCCTTATTCGTCTTTCAATGGACATGAGTTTTAATGATTGATGTTAATGTAAAATACATGATGAAGCAACATAGAATATCTTGGATGAGAATTCGAGTATTTCCCGAAAGGATTCGCTCAGGTGGGAAACCTGAAGACGACAGCGACAGAACAAGGTTGAATTTGATGAGCTCTATCTGATATACATCCGATTTTTTCGAGTAGGGTCTACCATCATAGAGTGAAACTGAAAAAACTACTAAAAATATCAGAAAGGCGAAAAGCTAGAAAAAAAAGTCGCGCTACGCTCAAAAGGCGGATCAAGACACGAATTAACCAGATACGGTAAAATTCGACCAGGTCTATCGAAGACATTCCTTTGGACTTTGACTTAGTGCTCCCTTTCCTGCGAAAATAATCATAAAAGTCTGACATCTCAGAGTTTTTGCTAAAACTTAACTCGGTTCGCTCATGAAGAGGACCAATCCACAATGTTCTTGAACCAAGACAGAACTCCACGAGCTCTATCAAATGCTCACCTTGAAAATCCAGCTCTGCATTACTGTCACATGAAAAACTAGTAATACAGCCCGAAATTCTAAGATAGATTTCGACGTAATATAACAAATACGTATCGTACAAGCTGATCCCGTATAGCTTTCATCTAGAAAATGGGTGATACGTGGCAGATTTCTAGAGGGTTTTGCTTAAACACGTCGGTATCTGCGAAGATGCAGAATTCTCGCCAAGGAGAATTCAGAATTTTAAAATCCGATCGGTAAACAGTGGATTAGTTCACTATGATAAATTCTCATTAGTGAGTAAGCTACTAAGCACCACACTAACCTATCAATCCGTCAAACAACAGAATTCTGCTAAGAATTCAAAAAATACACCAGAGTTTTGACAGAATTCTATTCCTAATAGCAGAAGATAAACAAAATCAGCAGAGATCAATACACACTCCTGGCTACTCTCCAATGCTAGTGAAGAATATAAAAATAACAGCAGAATTTATACAGAATTCTGTTACAGCTAACAGAATACGAACTTTCGATCGATATACTAAAATCGTATATCTCCAACAGGAAAAAAATATCAACAGAATTTAAATAGAATTCAGTTACGAGTAACAGAAGACAAACTTTGAGCATGCATACTAGAAGTGTATATCTCTAAGAGTAAAGCAAAATCCTAATGATGAATTGAAAAAAAATGAGCAGAACTTAAACAGAATTCTGTTAGGAGTAAGGGAAGATAAGCTTCGAATATGTATACTGCAGGTGTATATGACCAACAGAAAAGAAAAATTCTATTGAAGAATTCTAACACACCAGAGCAGAATTTTAAAATCTAATGAATATCAACACATATACACGTTATCTTTGATAACATAGAATTCTAAGCAGAACTTAAACAGACCAGAATGGAATAGATTGTCTTTGATAATACAGAATTCTAGGCAGAATATAAATAGACCAGAAAAGAATTGTACTATCCGTTGATCGCTAGCTCGGGTAAAGTTTGTCTTGTGAAACATAGAATTTTATTGAGAAATAAGAAAATAAAAACAAAATTCTAGTGTGGGATAGTCAATTCGTTTTAAAAAAATACACAAGTCCACGGAATTCTGAATTTTTCTTGGTAGGCATTCTGCAACTACTGCGCTATCTGGCTCACGACCAATGGCAACAATAGCAAGGAAGTTTACGCAAATTGCTCTAATAGGTCTTTTGTTTTTGAATATTTTGAAAGTGTAGAAATACGCTATCATGATTTATCGTTATGGTTTTTTTGTAACTCTGTCACACATTGCATATAGCACTGTATATTACTCCATTACACCTATCGATGAAAAAAAGTCTATTATTAGGGTGATTTGTTGTGATAAACTTGATGCTTATACTTTTTTCGTTCCTTGACGTATGTATGAATGCAAAGAGCAATATTGTTTCTTCCGATGCAGTTCAGGTGACTGAACGATTTTTTGTCTTCGTCATCATGTATTGAGCAATATATCAGTGTTCTCTTCTCCCAATCAGATACTCTAATGAAATTTTTTTCCTTTATTGTAAATATACAGGAGGGGGGGTTGGCTTTATTTTCTTTCGCTTGCGATTGTCTAACGAGCGGTAATTTTTTTTTCTTTTCTTACTGCTCGTATAGCAAATTGTAAATTATTTTTCTTTCTCTCTCCCCCCCCCCCCCCCCCCCCAACAGAGTCTCCAATTAATTTTTATCCCTTAGTATAGATATACACGGGGGATGGCTTTGTTTTCTGTCCCTCGTGCTCATCTAACGAGCAATAATTTTTTTTGCTGCTCGTAAAACAAGCGATAGATTGTTCTTTTTTCCTCTCAATCAGAGCCTCAAATGAAATTTTTCCTTTGCTGTTTATATACATGAAAGATAGGCCTTCTTTTTTTTCGTTCTCCTCGTATAGCAAGCAATACGTTGCTTTGCCGTCTCTGAATAAAACTATTCAACCATTTCATACTTGTTGATGTGCACATCACTGCGACAATTTATTTATACCCTCTATACACACGAGTTTCGAAAATATCTTTTCTCGATTCACTCCATGCAACACTACATATCATCGCTTGCAATTCATAGAACCAGAAATATATGCTGCTCTCAAAGATGAATGCGGTCCATCCGTTGTTGGGCATCTTTCCTGTCTACCAGAATACGAAAACATCAATAAATCTCTCCGAAAAGTGAAATCAAAGCAGGATGACTAGCAGTTCTCTGACTATAGAAGTACAGAATTTGGAGACTCAAGTTCTTCACCTTGTCGAAGAGTGCTCGCGCCAAATGTGCGACAGCTTTAATTAGAAAAACGATAAAATTAGGAATAAACATTCGTTTCACAGATATCTCTTACCGAATCGAGATAATAACATTTATCGATCGCAACCAGCTCGTCAAAGCCTATATAGAGAAACGATCCATGTTGTAGACTACAGTTTCGGTGTGAATTATGGTAAATTATAGCAAAAGAGCTGGAAATCTGGGCGGTATTACTCATTTTTTAGTTGAAGGCCATACGGAATGCGATTTCGAAGTTATGAATTTGATAGAGCTCGTCTAGTTCTATCGTCTCTGATAATCGACTAATTTTAGGGAATCGCTGGATAACTTCAGTAGATAAAAAAATTACTTTATATCCATTCAAAACAGGTATCTATATGTTTCAAAGTTAAGAATTTTCTGAATTTACCGATATGTTAAAGGGACAGGTCTTCTTCGTGTGAAAATATCTTGATATCCATATGTAATATCCTACTAGTTTCGCAGCCATTACTGAAAATTACTTAACGATCGGTGTGAATTTCTTTGTCATGTCGGATTGCTTTCAGAAATTTTCTTGTTGTAGACTAGTGATTATCGTCATTATCTAGAAATTGTTTAGTAGTGTCTTATGAGTTACAGATGTCACTTGGAAAAACTTTGTTGTAGTTTTTTCTGAAGTTTGATCGTTCAGGAAAGAAGTTCACTTTTTTGGAAATTTGAGAACTGTTACGATGAATTGACATAAAACCACAGAATATGCTAGAAATATGCATTTGGGTGTGTTTCTTGCATGCACTCTTCTGTAAGAGAAAGTTAGATATTTTACTTTACTACTCTGGACAGAGTAAACTTAGATGCTCTAGTTTTGTTTTATTTTTTCAAAGTAACATAAAGATAGATAGTCATTCCTTCGCATGACAATTAATACTCTGGTACATTTCATAATCATAGTTTTCTTGAGAATACGGAATACATCTGCACATAAGACATTCATCTGTTTGATGTGCACACGAAACGAATAAGATGACCACGATGAAAATACTGACGACACATATTTCGATGATAGAAATTATGCGAATAGGATTCTTTTGATGCTATGAGAACCATAGATTTTTTTAATATTAATATGATCTTTTGAATATATTATTCTTTTTTTTTTTTAATGATCCTATATATTAGGCTTCGCTAGCATTTCCTTCATGCAATAGGAACCTTTGTCGAAATGAAGTCTACAACTACTTAAAACAATTTGTATACCTTAAATATTCAAGCATGTTTTCTGATAAATACCTTTCTTTGAATTAGGTAGACGAATGCTGGAAAATAATTTTGTATTGAAATTAGGCATTCGGGGTGCATATTATTTGCCTTCGCTTTTTCGTTAGTCACAGCGAAGGTAAATAACAGCAACTCACTGTTGCCATATGAATGCATACATCTTCGATCGATACAAATTTATTTTGATACTTGCCACTGTGTGTTGCATCAGTACAACTATTTAAATGTCTATTTCACTTTTAGATTACATAAATAATCAAGCGTCGTATTCTTTTTCATCGATCAGTATGAATGATAGTTATGCTGTCATCGGCTTTCTTGGCCTCTGCTTTCTTTCTCTTTTCTATACTACATCGTAAGTTGTGAAAGATTTATAATCATTTTCAATAACTCTTTTTGCACTGAATATTAATTACTGACCAATTATTAACTTGTTTCAAAATCAAAAAAGTGATTCTGCTGAAAAAATAGCGGTTAAAATGACTTTCTAAAGATCTTCGCACAAGTTTTGATTCAGACTATAGTGATCGAAATAGCAAGCATTACTATATCAATAAGATTTGTGAGGATTGAAGAAAATGCCCAACAGGTAGATATGCCCAAAAAAGTGATTCTTTCATACATTTTTCATAAATTTTGTTGAAGGTTAACTAAAAAGTCATCATATAAAAAATGCAAATTCAATTGTTGTTGCTGTTGTTGTTTTTCTTTTATTCTAGGTTTCATCTAGCTGCTGTTACTGTACTCTTGCTTGTTTCTTTGCTAATTGTCTTCAAAGCTCCTACAACAGCTTCATGGCTTCTGGCCGTGGTTGTCAGTGAATATTCCATTTTCTTTGTGGGAATTACAAGTCTATTACTCTTGACCAATTTCTACACAGTTAAATATACATTACTGGCGACTGCAGCTGGCGTAGTTGCCCTACACTTGTTCATATCTCCAATTATTAGAGCCTATATTATTGCTCAAAATTTGGTAGCTGCTTTGGAAAAAGCTTTTCGACCAACTAATAATGTCAAAATCGCCTCGGATAAAAAAATTTCTAATGAACCGTTTAGCGTGCGTAAACTCTTTCAAACCGTACCGAAAGTTTCTTTTCGTACGTTAACATATGTAACCTATGACGATGCAACTTTGACACTGGATTTTTATACATCAACTGTGAGTGGCAAACGACCTTGTGTACTAGTAATACATGGTGGTGCTTGGAGTGCAGGTGACAGTAAACAATTGCCAGAGCTCAATAGTCATCTGGCACGAGCTGGTTATCACTGTGCAGCTATTAGCTATCGTTTAGCTCCACGATGGCAATGTCCTGCTCCTATAGAAGATGTAGCTGCTGCCTTAAACTACTTGTGTAAACATGCTGATGACTTGAATATTGATACAAATAATTTTGTATTACTCGGTCGTTCGGCTGGTGGACAAATAGCATTACTGGCAGCTTACACCCTTCAACAATCGGGTATCAAAGGTGCAATTGATTTTTATGGACCTGCGGATATGATTTATGGATATATGGTACCGACTAATCCATATGTGATAAACTCAGGACAAGCATTGGCTAGATATATCGGTGGTGATTATTATCAAATACCCGACAAGTATGCAGCCAGTTCACCAATCGAGTTTGTTAATCGACAGACTGTACCAACTCTTATCTTTCATGGTCTTACTGACGCGCTCGTATTCTGTGAACATAGTCGTCGTCTCAGTGCGAAACTAGATCAATACGATGTGCCACATTATTTGCTTGAATTACCTTGGGGAACACACGGCTTTGATTACCATTTAAATGGCCCTGGTGGACAATTGTCAACATTTGCAATCGAATACTTCTTACGCGTAGTTACTGGTGGACAATAGAATTTTCTTCTTTAGAAACCTAATTTTACAAAAAACTTCGCGCCCTTCGAATACTAATTTACTTATTCTTAGATTGAAAGACAATAAAAATTGATGCTAATTTTTAAACATTTATAATATGATCAAAAGTTTTTAAGGTAGTTCCTGCAGAATTAAAATGTAAAACACAATGAAATAGCTGTGCATGACAATCTCTCACATGGTGAGGAAGAATTCTCTTCAAATTTATAATTCTCTGTAATAGAAACTAATATGTGACATTAAAGAAGAAAGGATAGAATTTTTGAATTTTGGATTTCTAATTGATTCACATGGCAACCCAGAATACTGGTGTTTGCAAAACTCGAAGTTTTGTAGTGCAAAAAATCATAAAATCATGTTTGAATGTCTGTCACGGTTAGTGCGGTGGTTTAAAGGAGTGATTCACTATTATCGCTGTAAACTTCAGCATTCTCTAACAAATGATGTTGCACAAAGATCACAAAACCTATAAAGAAACCCGATAATCTAGAAACCTTCGGTCAATGTCTGTCATGCCAAAAGATATTTGTGACGGTCTTCATTTAACTTCAAAAGAACATTGAATTGAACAGTAAAGTCGAAAAATTTATTTGACAAATTAGAAAAAAAACACGTTCACATAAGACAGATAATGGTTTTAAAAGTGTGTTGTAGACAATCCAAATGATTTAATTGTTATTTATAGACCCTAGCCTTTCGATCTAACAAATACATACTAATCGTCTTATGTATTTAGATGTTTCTAATGCCATCTTTTAACTGATCAGGCTCTTTTTGGTAACAATTTGATTTTTACAATATCAATATTCATCTCATTTATGCAAAACTGAACTGGGTAGCTCAATAAATTTTTACTGCCTTTCTTTTAATTTTTCTTTAGTCAATCTGCGACTTAATCATTCTTCGTGTCAAACTCAATTTCGAGTTCCATGCATATTTCTTTACAGAATCAAATACAACGTTTTATTATGAACACTTTACTTAAGAAAATAAAAATTGTTTAAGCTATGACATTTATTTTCATATGTAGCAGTGCAAATAAATCAACCAGATTTAGATTTTTGAAAAACAAATATGAAAAATTTATGTTTGAAATTTTTCATTACTTTTAGATACTCTCGAATTGCTAGAAATTTAAGAATTTCTAAAATATTTCGGTTTGAATTGCAGTATAATACTGAAAATAATGATAATTATGAAAATTTCGTTTTTTTTGTCGAATATGTGATTATACGTGAATGTGAAAGAAACTAAATCGAAATACATTAGATATCAATGTCTTGTTCTGAATTGTGCTGCTTCCTTGCTACGTATTACCCAAACGTATAACTGAAATTAGAGAAACAAGAGACGAGCAGTAAAAATTGCAAACTGAAATAAGATTCATTCTAAAGTAATCTAGATAGTATCACACTCATCATAGCAGACTGTCAGATATGAAATGAACAGCAATGTCAAAGAACTATGAAATAGAAATTCCTAAATTGTAGAGAAATGAGAATTGATTATGAATTCCACTATTCATAATAGCCAAAGTAATGCTTTTTCTGCAATAGTTTTCATACCAAAATCTTTACACTTACAATTTCTTTGATGAATAGGAATGTGTAAGCTAATAAATATCGTGGATATTGTATCTTTTTTTTAATTTAATCTTAGCAATAATGGAACTTTAGGATAATAATATGACACCAAACAGTCTTGAATGCTTTACAACAAACATATTTAGATAGATAGAAAATAAGCATGAGAGACACTTTTCAGTTGACTTGTGTTATTAAATGATTTAATCGTGTTCATTTAATACAAGGAACCTTATCAATGCTATTTATTGATTGTTGGAATGTGTACTTCTATCAAACACTTGTGTCTCAATATTTGATGAAAAAATAGAAATAACTGATCTATCATCAGTCTGTGTATCAACCAGCAATGTTCAGACTTCCGAAAAAGAAAATTTCGTAAGTTTCGGAGATTTCAAGAATTTGTGTTCGGAATTGTACATTACCTCCTAAAATGACGTCATTTCTGAATTTTTCGCAATGACGTACTTATAGAAATTTCTGAAAATTACCGAAATTTCCAATATGTCTAAAAACTTTTGATTTGCACTGCTATATAGTAGTTGAGATGATAGAAATTTCAGAAATATGGGTAATTCATTTTTTGGAAATCTGAACATACCTCATATCAACATAACAACTTTCATACCAATGAATTTCATTCTTATATTCATTAATCATGAGTTATATTTTATTTTTAAACTCATAGAAGAAAAAATAATTATGTAATTTCATGAATTTTCTGATTTGTTTTGATTGAGTCATCTGATGTATGACTTTGCGTTGCCAGTCTTTGCAAGATTTCTTGCTACAATTTACGTAGGCAATCATTTTTTTTTTGTTTTCTCTGGATGCTTACTCTGTTATTCCAACGAACGCAAAAGAAACTCAGGCAAGAAAGAAAGAAAAAAACTGCTATGTCATCAATAACGACACATACGTCAATAAATGTTGTATTTTTTTTTTCTTTTTTCTTTCTGTTACTGACTCATTCTATTTTTCTAGTTAGTATATAATATATAGACATCAAATACAAGCAATCTGACAAACAAAGTTCCTCATAACGGTAAAGTGATTAAACCAACGCGAACTTTATATTTATTTTTATTGATAATGTAAGTACGAAAATATTTTGAACTTATAGAATAGTAGATCATGATTTTAGTTATGTTCGATATTCTATCAGTATATCGTTGCATAGTAGTGCAAATCAAGACAAACCCAAAATTTATCAACGATTGAGAATTAAAATAAAAAATTTTGTAATTTCACAAAAAAAAATTTGAAGAAAATTTTTAAAGACGCGAATTTCTTTTTTGTATTAGCAATATTTTTTATATTTTATAACAGAATTATAATCGAGAAAAATGCTAATAAGAATTGTCATTCGAATAAGATTGCTTGATCGTTTTATTTTCTGAAAATTTCACAACACATTATTTTATTGTAAATAAATCAAGTATAACTATTATTCATATAGATTTTTTATTAAAATATATTTTAGATTACAATAATTAACACTAGAATGGTTCCGTATAATCAAGTATTAGGAATTGCTTCATCAAATGTTCCAGCTTATTCGAATGGTGATGATGATTTTTTTTCTGCTGAACATCATTATTGTCATGGAATATGTACAGGATATAAATGGCAATGTGTTGAATTTGCTCGTCGATGGTTATTATTACGAAAAACTTGTATATTTAAAAGTATTGGATCAGCAGCCGATGCTTGGCATGAACTATCTAGTATTGAACGAGTTACTGATGGAAAAAAAATTCCATTAATAGCTCGTTCCAATGGTTCTTCAACGTTACCGAAAAAAGATTCTCTACTTATTTATCCTCGTTGTCCAGATTTACCTTTTGGACATATTGCTATTATAACTGAAGTTGGAAGTAATTATATTCGTATTGCTGAACAAAACTATCGATTTCATCGTTGGTCAGGAAACTATGCTCGTCAAATTGCGATGGTAGTTAAAGATGGAGAATGTTACTTGAAGGATTATTATAAAATTAGTGGATGGATGGAAATCGCTGGAAATGAAGAATTACAAGCATTAGGTGAATCAGCATTAGAAATCATACGAATGCAACAACGATAGTTGCATTAGGAAAAAAGTTTAGTTCTTTGTTTTTTGATAAATAAATTTGTGTAATGTATAATTATATATATATGTATTTATGACGAACGATATTTTAACATATGAATTATTTGATAAAATGTGTTTCTTTTTTTGCTACATATTAATAAAACAATGAATTATTCAGAACAGGACTTTGTTTTAAGATATAAAATTTGTCGAAAGTCTATCGTATAGTCACGACTAGACATCGGCGTGACCAATATTTTTTGATCACGGTCACGATCGTTGCCATCGTGATCGTGACCGTGAGTCATGGTAGCCACGCCAGTCTGTATACAAACGACTATTTTCTTTTTCTCAAAATAGCATACCCTTCTCTTCGGATAGGAGGTCTCTATATTAGAGGGCTTTCCATAATAGAAGACCCCCTTGGAGAAAATATGTGCAAGACTTAGTATAAGACCTCATTCAATTATCGAATTTTCCGAAAAAGGACAACTTCAACTACCTGATTTACACCATAATGTGCTTAGTTTTCAGAGTTTTGAGCTGAAAACCTTAACTAAGTGTTTTCAACGTTTTATCTAGGCTTTTAAAATCCGAAAAATTCCTTCTCAAAGCATCAAAATCGCTTTGGCTTTTTGAACAATCTTTTTAGTTGAAATCTGTAAAAACAAAAGAGACACAACACAAGACCCTCTGGAAAAGTTTTGCGATTCGACACAATAGAAAACCTCGAATCTCCTCGTGCGGAGTGGTGGAAGATAATATAACAGATAAATGAAAAGGATTAGGTATGAAAAAATTGATGAATTTGTTTTTGAGAAAATATCTTAAAGTTCTTGAAAGTTTATTTGGCCAAAGCCTGAATAGAAATGAGCGAAATCAGGACAAGTGGAGAAATGATCAATCATCGAATAAGTCATCTGATAAAAGTCAAAAAAGTCGAAAATATATGAAAATGACGTAATTCTTGTTCAAGGAGGTCATAATATTTTTTAATGGTACATTTTTTTCTAAAGTATTTCTATGCGAACTGTTTAAAATATATTAATACTGAGTATATTTTTTCTGGTATTGCGATTGTATTGATTCTATTCCTTCGTTTTGAGTTAGCATAATTAGAAAGGGATATTGATACATATTGAAAGAATACTAAATATAATATTTAATTCTCTATAAAGTTTGAAAATAACTGCTTTATAGTTACATTGAAAATTTATCGTGACTGGTCGTGACCAGGTTTTGGTCACGGTCAGGTCACGGTCACGACTTTTTTTCGAAAAGTGGTCACGGTTGTGAGTCACGATCGTGACCATGACCATGACTCATAGCAGTCACGGCGTTCACGCCGATGTCTAGTCATGACACATGTACGTTTGAAAATATGATAGTAAGCGAATGAAAAAAAAAAATAATCTGACCAGTTATGTTCAAAATATATTAACATTAAATGAATTGAATAGAAAACTTGTTGAAGATGAAGTTGGTACTGAGATTCAGTGGTGACACGAAGGGGATAAGATTGGAGGAAGGTTTAAGGAAATCTCGGCTATATCTTTCTTTTATACTGGGTAAATCATCACAGTTCTATTTACTTTAAATTGCAAGAGTTTATAGACCACCTCTTTCTTTAATTTATGAAGTTTATGGCTATTCCATTCTTCAATTTTCTAAAAGCTTTATTTAATGGAACTATTCTCCATATACGTAACATTTCTTTCTTCGTCAAGTCAAAATATTTTTAAAGTATCTAAAGTTGTTCAATTAATAGAACTCAGAATCATTCATTTATGATACTCAAGTAATCTCACTAGCTTTATCAACCTTTTCGATAGCATTGTCACAAGGATAAAACTGACCTTATGACTGTAATAATGGCTAAGATCTCCAAATGTAACAATATAATTTATATTACCTGCGGAAGTGAAATAAATCTGCAAGAGAAGATAGAGTTTCTAAACAACCTACACTTCACTTTTTATCATTAGAGTTCTAGCGTCTTATTAATTTGGTCAGCAATGGAAAAAAAAAATTGTCAGCTATGTGTCTAATGATATGATAAAAATAACGCTATCGGGATATTTTTCTCTGCCTTTTTCATACACATTAATAAATTTTTAATTTTTCGAGCATATAAACAGTGTACAGAATAGCATATGACTTACAGTTATCTACTTGAAGATGTTATAACTGAATTTTATTTGTAGCAGTTTTAGAAACATTTTCAAAGAATTTTACAACGAATACAAAACATATATATATATATATATATATATATCAAGATTAAAGTTTTTCGTTCCAAACCTTTCTTGTTTTAAATATGGAATTGGTTGATTGGAAGCAACCTGATTGATACTAAAAAGAAAATTTCACTTCGATCTATATGAAATGTACTGAAACGATAAGTAACGCCGATTATACGATATTGTTAGAAATTGTTTACAAGAGATACTACCATTAAAGTTAAGAAAAAATAACAATCATTCTGTTATTACAAACTTGATATATACGAGACAAAAAAATTGAACACTTATCTCTTCTAGTAGATAAAAATCAATAAAACTTTTTCAATAAGCATATCTAAATGCATTCTATAGAATGTTAGAATACTCAGAAGTCAATGCATAAACATTGTTCTGTACTAAGAGGAAAAGAAGGATTCGATGATTAAATACAATAAAGATTGCAGGCTTAATATGCATTCCCTTATAAAAGTAAATGTACCACATAGTCAACGTCTCTCGTAGGGACATACAAAAATTAATGCATAATTCCGTGTAAATGATCAATATTTTATCGTAATATTAAATGACCTTCTTTTTTTTGATGACAATATTTTACTAAAAATTCATGTCTAACTTAAGGGGAAAATTTTTTTCAAATTCTTATTTGTTAGTTTTCTGTGTTTTATTATTATCGAAGATCAGGCATATTCAGATACTATCGAAAATATTGAAAACGATATAATTTTCATTTTCTTCATATTCTTTTCATCGTATTACGCTTTTTTTTGAATTTATAAATTCTTATAGACACATGTTAAGGTTATTTTTTATCTGATAATTGCACGAAATATATTACACAATGTTCCTGCTAAAATAATTCACCTAAATGTAAGGATTTAACTCTTTTGATAAGAATCGTTTCGTATAAATCGAATAATTTCTTTTTTTTTTCTTGTTTTCATTGAATATTTACGATCGAAGTCAACTTCTCTAACTACTGAATACCTTGCAATTGACAATGAATTTCTAATCAAGTATAGTCATTCTACATCAAATATTTGATAAAATTTTTCACAGTAAAAATTCTTGTTATCAGTATCATAAAATCTCTATAAAAAGACACCTTCATAAATTATTTTATATATCAAACGACAATATCATCAGATTCACATTACATATTTTATTGAATGGATAAAATGTTATTTTGTATGCTTATAATTCATTTCATAATAATTTATATTGTTCAAATTTGTCAAGGACTTACACGTCCATTGGTAATTGGTCATCGTGGTTCAGCCTATTTACCTGAACTTACATTAGAATCTCAATCAATGGCACATGCTCTAAGAGCTGATATAATTGAAATTGATGTTTGTCTTAGTCGAGATAATCAATTAATTGTCGTTCATGGTAAAATTGAATATTTTCTTTAAGAAATTCTCTATAAATTTTTTTTTTCTTCTAAAGATCTTTATTTAAATGCGATAAGTAATGTCGAAAATATATTTCCAAATCGAAATCGTTCTGATGGTTATCATTATGTGATTGATTTTAATCTTGAGGAATTACGTCGTCTAAATATTCATGAACGTACGTCACCGTTTACTAATATACAAGTTTATCCATCTCGTTTTCCTTCATCATCGACAGTACAATTTCATCTTTCAACACTTAATGAAACTATTGAATTATTACTTGGTCTTAGTCATTCTACAAATCGACAATATCAATTACTTATTGAAATAAAAAATCCTGAATATCATACACAATACAATAGATCTATTTCATCAATACTACTTTCAACATTAAATGCTTATAATTTAACTGAACTTAATGATCCAATTATAATTCAAACATTTCATATAGAAGAATTAATACATATTCGTAAGAATCTATTGAGTAAATTACGTTTGGTTGCTTTATTAACATGGAATTGGTTAAATGAATCTTCAAGTGATTATGATTTCTATCGAAGTGAACAAGGTTTACAAAATTTATCAACGATTGTTCAAGCTATTGCACCAAATATGGAATTATTGGTTAATTTTGCTCTAGATGGATCATTTATTAATGTTACAAATTTAACTTTATTGGCTCATAAATATAATCTTTCAGTTTATCCATGGACATTTCGACGTGATACCTTCAAAGGAAATTTTGAACAATTAATCAACATTTTTTATAAAACAGTTAAAGTAGATGGTTTCATTACGAGTCAACCAGATGTAGTAATTGAATTATTAGAAAAACAAACACCAATTCCCAATACTTTATCTAATCAATTACCTAGTCTCTCGTATTTCATAATTCTAATACTTATATTTCTGCAAAGTGTTATTGATACATGAATAATTAACTAATTTACATAATAAATACATGAAAGAAATGGAATTTATCTAAGAATAATAAAATTAAAAATCATTTCGAAATGTTTGATAAGTCCGAAACAGACGAAGAAAATAATTTTATTTCTTTTTCCTTTTAGTATTAAAATAAAAGGCAAGATCTCATCAGTTGAATATGCTGAAATGAAAAGAGAATTATTGATCTATAGTGTGTATATACTTATAAAAAGGTTTCTTTTTATGTATCAAAATCTTTATCAATTTTATGTTTTTAGATATAGAATTAAAAAAAAGTATCAACATGAAATATTCAAGAAATCGATATTATCAAACTTTCACGTATTCACTTTTACAGAAAAAAGAAATCAATCATATAAATTCTTATATAATTAATATGTTCTTCTTATAGTGTGGAGTAAAGTTCTTTACAGTCAACTATTATAGGTCAGAAACAAACTTTTGGTAACAGATTGAATATAACCAACATTGAGCTAATTTTAAGCTACACAAAGAGCATATTTAGCGTTCTAAAATTTAGATATAATGCTGCCATTCATTTCTCTTTAAAATAAAATAAAGTAAGTTTAACATATTCGTTCTTTGATATGTACATAGTAGTTTTTGTTTATGTCCCGAAATTGTTCATCAAGAAAGGTGACTTGTTTTGAAAAACCTTTCGGTATCGTATGTACATTTCAACACAATATAGATTTATGATCTTTTTAAAAATTTTCTCGGTGATAAACGTACACTGTGCAACATGTCTCAAGAAAAAAAAATGTTTGATTATTTCTAGTTGACATCCTTTCAATCAATCAATCACATTTCACGGTCGCGGCATTTGTTCACACTTTGATTTATACTTGTAAATATTCTTAACAAATTATATTGTATACAACAAAGCATTAAAAACTTTAATAAACAAAGAATCGTCATCATCTTTTCATGCACATATGCATTTTATCACTGAATAACTTAGTTTTTTTTCCATAAAGTTCATGCATTGTATGGTTTCTTATAAATCCGTCTATATTATTGCGTACACATACATATCCAAATAAATCAAGATCCTTTCAGTTTCATTCAAGACTACACTTAAAGTTGATTATATGGTTCATATATGATTGAGACTATACATAACTATGTACAAGAAAATGATTATATTTATTTTTATATTCAGTTTTGCTTATACATGTTCGATGATCCCACATTGAAAAAAGTTCCCTTTTTTTTTTGTTAATTAGCGAAAAAGAGAAGTGATCAATACAGATTTCTATATTTTCGAATCCAGATTTAAAAGCTATCTATAGATATTTATTCTGGACAGAATGAAAATGAAGTCTAAATATATAACATCTAAATATCTTCTTTTACTAAGCTCTATACGATAAAATTTCGAAGATCGAATCATATCAATATTTTCTGAAGAATATATTCAAACTGCTGTTGATTTTATTTAAATAGTCATTATCTTCTCTACGTGCTTCTATTGAAATTGCATTTTCTCATTAATGAATTGATTATTTAACGTGTCAATTTTAATAATACAATTAATTATTTATAATAAATTATTATTGTAAAGAAGAAAATAAATTGATAATCATATTCAAAACATTCACACTAAAAATGATTGTTCGATTGGCATCATTCGTTCTTATCTTTTATCGTAAGTTGATTTCTTTTAGGATAAGACAAATCTTTATCTATTATCATTATTTAGTGTGGACAATTATTATCAATGAAACAAATACAATAGAAACGATCATTGACATCTACTCGGAGAATATAACTATCATATGGGAACCTTTTCATATAAAAAGATGTGCAAATAGAACCGAAATAAGTTTATCACTATTCACATGTAAATCAAATGAAAGTTATCTTGAAGTTACTGATATATCTTGTGTACAAGAGAACATATTCACTTTTGATCAAACAGCATGTTCGCCAACTACATTTCAATCATTAGTATTGACTACTGAAAAAATACAAACAACAAAATCAACAACTAGACCTACATTAGGACTATATGAATGTCCAGAAAAAAATAAGATTGGTCAATATTGTAATATCTCAAATGATATATGTAAAATGTTAGGACCATGTAAAAATCAAGGACATTGTTATTTCAATGAAACTCTTCCATTACAATATATGTGTCAATGTCCAGTGGGATTTTCAGGTTATGATTGTGAATATGATAACAGAATATGTAAAAATAATACATGTTGGTAAGATAAAAATACAATTAAAATTAGAATTGAACAAAAAGAGTCACTATAAAGTTTTGACTACAAAACAGCATATATGTAGGCTTACACAGAAAGGCTTTCTATTTCTAATCATGTATGTCGTATCAAGTTCTACTGCATATTGTTAATATATCAATAAATAATCCTAGTTTCATCATACTCCACCATGATTGCGGTGAAGTTGGCATCATCTATCGATATGTTACACAGGCAGAACTTCATCCCTAGTCGAGAATCCCTAAACGAATCTTTGAAGACTTCCTGTCAAAATTCCCTGGAGAATCCCGACAGGGTTCCCTATAGATTTACGAGGGAGTCAAGAAGTCTTCAGGGATTGATGTGAGAGTTTCTGGGAATTTGCTAGGGACTTCGTAGGAATATACCATTAGACTTACGACGACTGCAAACGATCGTACACGATAATCTTATCGTACTATACACCTCTAGTAAAATCTCATTATAAAATACTCTCGAAGTCCCTGGAGAATCATGACAGGGACCGAGGGTGAGTGTGGGAATCCCCAGGGATTCTCAACTAGGGATATATTCGCTTCTGTAATAAAAACTCATGATTATATCTTTCGTATTTAGGCATGATGGAGATTGTGTTGAAATGAATGGAACTGTGTCTATTAATAATCAAACAACATTTAAATGTATATGTGAATATGGTTATGATGGAGCACGATGTGAATTAATACGTGATATGTGTGTTAATATAACCTGTAAAAATAATGGTATTTGTTTTTCATCCTATCTATCATGGACATGTCATTGTCTTGATTCTTCACTTTATTCTGGAAAATATTGTGAACATAAAAGTACATTATTAGTAGCTAAACAAGCATTAAGTAAATCATTTGCATCAATAGCTATTGCAGCTATTATTGCTGTTTTTTTATTTGTTATTATCATGGATATATTGAAATATGTATTTAAAATTGATCCAGTTGATCGTGAACGACGATTAATGAAATTGGAACAAAAGAAAAAACATTTAAATAAAAATAGAAAAAAACGATTTAGAAAAGTTCCTTTAAAGGTTTTTTATATATCTTAATAACAAAATATTCTTTATGTCATACAATTAATAATAAATATTTGATATTCAAAAATCGAATGATAATTCATTATTGAAATGACTTTTAGAATTGAATTCATAATGATTGATTATTCTTGAATATATTCCTTCGAGAATTTTGTATTTCTTGATCGATCAAATACGATTTCTCATTAAAGTTCAATATGAAAAGATAAGTGCAGAAATTACTAAAACGATATATATAAGATATTTTTTTGTTTAAAAAGCTAACTATTAATTATTTATTAAACTAATAAATTTTCATTTGACATATGACAATGAAATTTTTCGTCAGTAACATTCTATTTTTTAATATATCAAGTTTCAAGGATTTTCGATTTGTGCAAGATTTAATGTTTTACTTTACAAACTAGAAATTATTTCTTTTTGAATAATGAATACTTAATTGATTTTCAGAAATCTATTATATCATTTGGAAATTAAACCGAACAATCATTCAATTTTTGTGTATTTATCAGAAAAAATTTTTCTTTATTCACATCTACCTTTAATGACACTTATTCAATGTGCTATTAGATTAATAAAAATTTCATTTATTTTTCAAGAATAAAAATTATACAAGATTGATGATTTTATAGTATACTTATCGAAAAAACATTTTTCTAAATTCTCGTACATATTGGTTATCTATCTTCAAATAAAAATTAAAACGTTAATTATCTTTCAGATGAGATAATTAAATAATTATTGAAATCTTGATTTTCATATTGTCGGATTTGTATGTAAATAAATAATGGATGTAATTGTTTGATTATATTCAAATCTTTTGATAAGAAATCATTTAATGGTATTTTTGCTTTAAAATTAATTAAATACGGTACACGTTGAATTAATAAATGAGATAACCGATCAAATGAAAATTTCTCTTTTGTTTCATTTTTATCAATAAGAAGTGTAAAATTCTCTAAGTTTGGTACATTTGATAATAACCAATCAATATGCTGATACCATTCATCTTCTATGGAATAGAAATGCATGTAAATATGTCGAAGAGATGTATGTGAACAAATAAAATTTACAAATAATTTAAATGATATATTTTCCAAACGTATTATTCGTAAATAAATTAAATTTGGACATGCTTGCAATATTTGTTTACACATATTTGATTCCCATGTACAAGGTGAAATAGTTAATTGTTGAAGTGATAATGAACAATAAGGATGGTGATCATTTAATATCATTCGATCGATATGACATGTTCGTAAACGAGGAAATAGAGGAGAAAAAATAAAACGACATAATTGTTCGGTATTGTTCGAAAAGGAGAAATTTGATATATATAAATGTTCAAGATTAGGTAGAACATGTGGTTGAATAGCATTACATTGTTCCACTATTGGCCTAGATAATTTTAATGAACGAATATTTGAATAATAAGAAAAATCAATTAATTCATCATGTTTAATAATTAAACTTGTTATATGTGAAGCAAAGTGAGGAATAATACGTTCTTTATGATCCCAATCTTCTTCAAGTATAAAACAAAGATTTGATAGAGAATCAATTAATGAATTAAAACGAGAATTTAAATTAAAAAAAGTATTATATAAATCATATGAAGAAATATATTCGAATATTTCTATTAATAATTCATTTGGAAATATTTCAATACGTGAAATTATATCATTCATTATTATGATATTTACATTATAATAAATTTTAATTTCATTAAAAGATTCATCAACAATAAATAGATTGAGGTTCAAATAGACGCATAAACAGAAAACGGCTGTTGTCTATAAGTAAACATTTGCATATGATGATTGATAAGCGTTTAAAATTGATCAATTATAACTAGATTCAAAACTATTAACTGTTACATCTAGCATCACCGAATATGCTTTTTTTTAAAAGAAAGAAAAAAAAAATAACTGCAACATGTGTATATGGTCATTCATTCTATTCTAATAATAAGGGTCAAACAGAAGAAGAAGAAAAAAAAACATGTTGGTGACCGTTGAGAAGAGCAATGAGGAAAAAGAACAGAAAGAAAAAATTGATGAACGACACATAGACAACTTACGCATGTATATTGTCAACTACATACAACAAGCTATAACCGTCCAATGCATGAATTACGTAGTGAGATTGATCAACGTCATCTATGATGAGTATATGATATAATCAATATTATATAAAAATTGATGAATATACAAGAGATCTTCAATATGATGGAAATATGTCAAAATGAATACAAATTTTTCTAACTAAAAATTTCATGATACAATGCATCATGTGTGATTATATTATAAAATTAATTGTTTCATTATACATAGAATACTTTGATTATTTAGACTTATGTTCTTTTAATTTGATCTGTTAAAAAGTTTATATAAAAACAGGTCGTAGTTTATATAATAAAGATTGTAAGGAGAATAATGATTAGTAAATCATTTGGGGAACTTTTCTAGTATCAGCTATATATTATTAATTTTATTTTAAAATAAAAATAAATTTATAATTATGAATGGAATTATGTGTGTGTGGTGTTATTTATTTAACCAAAGCTATTCGTTGTTGACATCGAGTAAAATTTATATCCAATACAACATATTTAAATTGTTGACGAAATCGTTTAGATACACATAAATAAATATATAGAAAGGACTCTAAAAATAGACGAAAACAAAAAACAAAAAACCATACAAATCATATTTTTAATCCATGGTACTTACACTAAAATATAAATCATATAAACAAACTGTTATAACTGAAACATGTGATAATTTTGTTGTGACAAGTGTTTTTAAAAAAATAAATATTTAGTACAATTGAAAGAAAAATCATAATTGTATAAGGTGTAATAGGAAAAATATTAAAAATAACTTGTACAAAAAACATTGTTGTTAATTGTTTATCTAATTCTTGTCAAACAGTCGATATTGTTTGAAAAGCTAATTCTTGAATATATTTCTATAAACTAAAAATTCAAAAATAGTCATAATAATAACTGGTAAACATCTACTTAAAATTAATACATAATAAAAAAAATAAAATATTTTTGAAAATAATCATTTGTTATTGTATAAGTAATTATTGTTGTATGAAGTTTTGTTAATATGATTATAATACATTAAATATGGTAGACTAAATGTTGTTAATAAACATAATTAACAATAAAACTATCGAAATTTTACAGTAGGATACTAAAGTTTGTATCCAATCAATTTTAAAACTATTACTCATTACACACGGAAATAAACGATTATTTAATTGATCAATATTTAAAAAAAACAGACATTATTATTAGATAAAATGCATATGAATTTATGATTGTATTATAAAAGTAATTTATAACACTTAACATGAACGTGTCTAATAGGTGTTGATATAAGGCATATTATTAAAACATAAATTATTATACGTCAAACTCCTATATATAAAAATATTCCATTTGTTAGAATAGCCAAAGCTTATATGAGTTTATAGTAGGTAAATTTATTTGGCTGATATTTATGAACATGAACTAATTAGTTTTTGAATTGTTTTCGGAAAATCTAACAACCTATTTGTATACACTCAATCTCTCGTTTTTTTTTTTAGAAATAGTATTTATTTTGAATAATAAATATATAAATTTGATCAACTAGATGTTAAAATAAATGTTTGGAAATTATTCACTTGATTTTTTTTATTTTTCTTTCGAGAATATTTTATGTAAATTCAATGTGATATCGCTAATAATTCGAAATTTCTTGACACAATAAAAATTATAGCTCAAACACTCTCGTATACTAATACAAAATGTTAGATCAATCAATTAATCTATTGAGTTTCTGAGTCCGATCTGTATGGAAATTTTTAATAGAAAGCAACAATAGACAATTTTTTTTCATATAATGTTTTGTCAATTTCATTATTTAATATATCAATAAAAATTGCACTATATAATGCATGAGATATCCTATATGAATAAATGGTTCATGATCAACAGATTACGATGAACCTTTTTACTTCTACTAATGATAGCTCAAAAAAAAAACATAAATAATTTAAATGATAGAATCTTTTTTAATTTCAAATATAAGAGCTTTTTACAGAAAAAAAGATGTACATCGTAATTTATGTTTTGTATTCAATAAAAATTTTTCTTTTGTTTTTCAACTAGATGTTGACAGATACTTAGTGATAGTTTATCTATATAGTTTCTTCCAGGTATGTTATTAAAACATATATTCGATCTCATAAAGATTACATATAAGCACATGGAAAACAAAAAGAAGTCATTTAATATTTTTCTTTCCTCTACCGTTCAGTAAAATTCAAATAATTATCGTGCTTTGATGTACTACTATATTCATTCTATGAGAATCTAGTGTTTTTGAAATGTCTAACTTAAAATTTCAGCACTACACTAAGTGATATACCCTTGTGCACGATATTTTAATATTGCCAAGAACGTATGACGTCTAATGTTTTTGTTAGCGTTAACGCGAATCAAGAATAGTAAGAGCCATGTCGATTATAAGTGAGTACGTTGTTCTTATTTTCATGATATTGAGTTGTTTCCTATATACGTCAAGTTTTATCTTTTCTTCTATTATATATGCATTATGTTCGATGGAAGACTACACAAAAAAGAAAATAGAAGAAAGATTCGTTTCGGTACGTTCAACACTTATTGTTACCAGAAAATCCAAGCGTTCTTTATACGGTTGCAAAAACCGTATAAGTTACATTCAAAAAACTAATTAAAAAACTCTGTTGTAATCATGTGAGATTTTTTGGTGTGAACATAGACGAAGTGTAATAGCATAATGATATGTAGACTAAAACATGAAAGGGATGTATCATTATTTAGGTCATGATCAGTTCCAATCGGCAAAGAAAATGAAATTTCTATTCACTTCATTGTACATAATATTTATAATAATGCATCATTCCGTACGTATCATACAAAGATACCTTTCACAATCAAACTTTTCATTTCAACATTTTTCTCATCATCCATTTTCAAACATTACGGTTCGATTTTCGATCAGTATCTAAGTATGCTTTCGATACTGTTAGTCAACTATATGTCGATTAAATTGTTGTATTTCGACTTTCAGACGATGATGATATTCCATATCAGATTAATCTTTTGCTCTTAAATGATTTTACTTTTTTGTCGATTCATTTCTTTATAATCATTTTCATTCTATGATATTTGTTCGAATCAAATAATAACCAAACTACTATTATAGAATATGTCCAATAACACCTGGATTCTTAGCATATTCACCCATGTTTAACTAGACTTCAATGATTCATGAGAACATCTGTTTCCCATACCGAAAATCATGTTTAAATCGATCGAACATTTGTTTATGGATAAATATCATTTTGAATTCTATTTACTTAGTTGTACTATTCTAATGCATATCGAATAGTCGACATTTGACAGTTATACTTGTAGAGATGATCTAATGATACATTACTGCAATTTTCTATTTGAGGGTGTGGGTGTGGGTATGGGTATAAGTACAATGTGAGGATAAAGATACTGATGCATATATCTAATAACAATTACAGTCACACGCATATTCCACATCCACACATAAAATTATCATAGTAGTTTTGAACTTTTTATTAATTTGTTATTTTACATGAGATGGTACAGAAGAGCTCTATCGATTAGAGATATTCAAATCATTCTTTTATCAATCAAGCGTCGCCGATAATAACGATATAAAAATACAACAAGGATCATAAGTGACAAGCAAAATGTTAATAATACGGCAGGATGAAGATTGAGCCAAGCTCTGTAAATACCTTTAATTATTCGCGCATCTCGCCCATGCCAAGAGTCGCCTCCTGCGAACCAAAGTAGAAAAGGAGAGTAGACTTTCTCTTCAATGATGCGCACTGATATTATTTCTGATGACCTATGGAAAAAATGTTCATTGAACGTCAGGTAAAGAGGACCAGCGCTTAGCATGACAGTAAGATAATACAAGATATAATGATGATTGAAAAGAGAAAGACGTGAAGCAAGTTGACCAAGCAACGGATGACCCTTTGTTGAAACCATAAAATCATTTGAAAGTCCATTGGGTTTCGTTGCAGGAAAAGCAGCAAGATGTTCGGCATGTGGATCGAGCGCTTCCAATGTATCTAACAAAATATTCAACGATCTTGAGCATCCAGCATCCATGTCAATGTAGACACCACCAATATAGTATAACAAGATATAACGAAAAGCATCGACTCGTTGAATATCATACGGATAAGTAAGAAAAGTGTTCAAGTATAAATCCGGTGCCTTTTCTCGAACAAACTCATGCATATCTTCATCTGTCCATAGATGATACTTGAACTGATCAGAATTTAATTTGTGTACACTTTGAACACTACGATTCCATCGTGCTGGTATACTTGTATTTTTCCATGTTTGATGTATAATACGAGGAATCCGATGTTGGAAGTTGCTGGTGTTAAAGTTTTTCTGCGTTATTTTAGTAATATCTGATTCGGCGATAAACAGTTTTGGTGAGCGACGACGAAGAAAAATCCTATGGATCACGATAAGGATAATTACTATTAGTAGTATTCTGTAGACATGCATTGAAAGTCGCATGAAATATTCGATGAGAGAACGTCTCATCGACGCTTGCTTGTTTAAAGTTTCCGTTGTGGTGCTATTACCAAT